ACAAACTGGCTGGGCTAAGGGAAGTGAAGTCACAGCCGAACACAACAAAGGGCCAGGAGGAAACACATTGTCTTTGTTTGTACCCATGAAAGCCAGGGATCAACCACGCAGGGTTCAGGGAAGTGGGAAACAGATGGTAATTTGCTAGGAACCCGATAGCATTGTGTGGGACTGGGCAGGAAGTATTCCTTGGAGAGCTGGGAGGGAGGTTTCCAGTAAAGCCAAGACTGGGGGAAGATGCCTATGGTAGCTATTTTCACGTCTTCTCTTATAGTACAGCCCTAAAAGGTGGGCATAGCCCAGTCTCCATCACTTTGTGCTGCTATTCCTGCCAGGGCTCCCAGGAAACCAGGAGCTGGGATGCATGGGCACATGTGTGGGCATGCGTGCATGTGTGCATGTGTGAGCACTCGAGTGCGCGTGTTAGTGCATGAGTGTGTGCATGCTGCATGTTAGGGAAGCACATGCTTAGAGGGGTCTGGAGCACTGGGCAATGATCAAATCTAAAAATAATCCCTCTTCCTGTGTCTCCTTTCCCTTCTGAAATGTGTCTTGGAGTCCCAAAACTTACCTGAGTAGCCACAGTTGCTGCACAAGTTCCCTTAGATGTGGTTTGAAACCAGAAATTCAGGCTCTGTCAACAGCCAGTTCTGTGGGGACAATAACATTCCTCACTCCCAGCAAGGGTGTCTCACCTTCTAGGAGATGCCAACAGAGCTTTGCCATGCCTGCTCCACGGGTAGAGAGTAAGAAGCTTCTAGCAGGAAGTAACCGTGTGAGAGAGGTGGCCCTCCCCACCATTGTTCCTTCAGATGCTGCCGGTGGGGAGCAGATTTACCTGGGTCTGAAGTCTGCTGGGAGATGGCTTCTGCTTTTCAGCTGTCCTAATTGAGGAGGAGGAGGAATGCCTCACAATTGTGACAGTATCTAAGTGACAATATCTGCCACTCAAAGCCATGTCCTGGAATCTTGTGACCAAAGACCCAAGCACCACACAGTTAGGATAGCATATCCCATTCTCTTTTTTGTCACCAGGTACCACATAAATGTCTCTTGTCTCGTGGAGTATGCCCATCCTCCTCTCTGCTCCATCCCCATCATAATTTCTGTTAGTTAGACTTGAAGGTGGGTCGGTGTTAATTCAGCACGTAGTCTCTGGTTTGCTGCTCCACTCCGAGGTGGTACTTGATATCTCAACTCTGAATCCAATGGACATCCTCTCAATGTGTTCACACCATGTACCTTACGCTCTACCTGATGCTCCTTTTCTGGCTTAATCCTTATTTGGTACTGACAGCCTCGCCCAAACCCATGGACACTACAGTGTGAAGCCTGATTGGATGATAGCTAGCTCACAAGCATACTCACTGGGTTTCTATACAGCATTTGGATCAGCAGTTTCTCAAAGCATGGCCTCGTGTTTTTTCAAGACAATTCTTTGGCCAGGAGTGGGTAACACAGACCTGTAATCCCACCACTTGGGAGGCAGAGTTGGATGGACTATAACTTTGAGGTATTTTGGGCTACACAGGCTACATAATGAGATCTTGTATTTACATCCCTTTTGTCTAAGACGGCCCTTCTACGGTCCTGTCCATGAAATCAATACAGCTCAAACTGTGCTTACAAGGCCCTTGCCTTCCTTCCAGCTGGAGGGAGAAGTCTGACCTTCTAGTCAGCCACATTTCTGAGAACCCTCTTCCAACAGGCTCCTTGCCCCTTAGTCCAAACCCAACCTCCCCACCTGCCTAATCCTTCCCTCTCACTTATCAAGACTTAAGTAGCATCTTTCTTCCTCCACACCTTGCATCTCCTCCCACAGATCTCCTAGACAACTTGCAGTGCCCTTGACCATGATACCAACAGCCTCAGTCACCTGGACAATTGTGTCCTCCACTCTGGGGGAAGAGCCAGTTTTTCAACGTGTTAGAAATATAAACATATTTGATATATTAAAGGTGGAAAGAAATGTTCTGAAAGATTTCCTGGGTGTGGGAGTAGGAACTTCAGGGTTTCAGGGTCTCACACTAGGTTTATGAGATTCACAGAACGGACAAATCCGGCAAGTCTCATGCATCCCAACACATTTTGAGAAGTTGATGTCTTGTCACCAATGCTTCCGCCTTGCTGTCAAGAGTAGCCCCACTGGTAGCCGACAGCAAACCCAGTCAGGGCTTCCAAGTTTAGAGAAAATAAGGTAGAGATTTGGAGTAAGCAAGTCACAGGTGATGATGTCCTGAATGTTTCCCTCTGTGCTTTCCACAGGAGCACTGTTCAAAAAACAAAACTTACTGTGGCATTAAGAAGCTGCCCTTTGCTGTGAGTGGGGGAGGGTGAGCATGGGTGGAGGCAGTGACAGGGTGGGGGGATGTTTGGTCAGGATATCACGTTGCTCCAGGAGAAGAACGGGCAAAGACAGTCAGTCAAGGTGCTGGCTGACCCCCTCCACTGCTCCTGGTTGCAATTGCTTGGCACTTTAGCTGCCAACAGATAGATGAAAGAGATATTTTATACAAAGCCATAGATGACAACCCCAAGAGGGAGGAAGAACGTTGGATGGAAGGCTTGACAACCTGTTCCCGTGTAAGATTGTTAATATCCGCCTTAGACACAATGCTGACGGCTAATGAGCTAATACTTTTGTCTCAAGGGTGGGAGTTTCTCTTCAAACATGTAGAGTTATTTATGCTATTTTAAGAATTTCAAAAGGTCTTTCAAAATCCAGGGTTTGCTCTAAAGTGACTCAGAAGAGCGACTCTGTAAGAGAAAGATTGTGGGAGAGGAAAGGGCCTTATACTAAGGAAAGAGAGTTATTGCTTTCAAATGTCAGCATGTGACATGAATTAAGAGGCGTTTTTTTTTAAAAGCGTGAGAGCTGTAATTCTTTTAAAACCTTCTAACAATTCCCAGAAAGTTAAAGCAAAATGAATCTGAAAACAATTTGTCAGTTACAAATTATATCCCTATAAATTTTCTAATACAGAAATCTTAGGATTATAAAATGCAATCGATGAAAACTGTGGGCAGGTTGTCAATGGAGATGACTCCTTTCTACGGATTGAAGTTTTAATTGAAGACTTTAAATGTGGTTATCCTACTGTTACCAAGAGATCAGGTCCATAACTTCCCCTGCCCCAGCTTCCCTGTAGTCCAAAAAATTAGGACACAGAAGTTAGAAGAAGAAAATGGGTTAATTGACTGTTTGGGCAAGTCAGGGACAGAAAGAATCTGTTTCTTCTTCTATATATCTGTGAGACTTTTACAGTATAAAGAGAGCTATAAATGGAACCAGAAGATATGTAGACTCAGCTGTGAGACTCTGGCTGGTCCTTTCCCAGGCGCACCACCACCCCTCCATTCTTAGTTATGGAGAGCAAAGTGTCTCTTCAGAATTAGAGTCTCCAGCCCATGATCAAAGCCCAGGATCACAGCTTTCACACTACTGAAGGAAGCCATGAATAGAAGACGTAAAGTGGGAGGAAGTTATCGCTCTCATTAAAGTTGGTTGTGCATTAGAAAGCTCCTACACACGCTGATTCAGTGCAGCGTCATACCTTCCCTTTGAACACATTCACATTAGAACACGGGGCACACACAGGCCCACTGGCAGATGACTATCCTAATAGCATTGTTTGTTTTTTGTTGAGATGGAGGTCTGCTATATTGCCCAGACTGGCTTCTACGTAACCCAACTGGCCTTGAACTCACAGTAATCCCGCCGTCGCAGTCTCCTGAATCATGGGATTACAAGTATTTGTTTCTATGCCTGACTACTAAAGGATTCAGGAACAGACTAGGTGATGACGTCAACTGTGTGATGTTCTGTGTAAGATTTAACAGCCTGGATCCACAGGGAAGTGTGCCAACTGGAAGTTGGCATGGTAGCTTTTCCTCACTTCAAGAAAACAAACAAACAAACAGTAAACAAAACAATAAACTGTGACTGGCCTTCCCAGCTCTTAGAGACGGAGCATGGCATGTGGGCCCTGCCGATCTTTCAAATCTCCCCTCGGCCACTTCATTGTGTGAGTCTGGGCAACTTATCTGATGTTTTCTTTTTCTTTTTTTTTTTTTTTCTATGCCTCAATTTCGTGTCAGCAAAGTGGGGCGTAAAACTCCCTTCTTTGTAGGTTTGTTGGCTGCTTAATTCAATTCCTCTAAAGTTTTAGGACAGTTTATCAACAGATCCTCAGTAGGAAGACATAATAATTACTGACATAGGAAATTTCACTTCCTACAAATTTGCACCAACCGAAGGTGACTTAGTTTGTTTTAATGTTGTTTTAGTGCACCCAGACATAGTTCAGTCAGGCAAACAGTTCTTGAGGAGGCACTGCAGAGACAAAAAAAATCTCTCTCCTCTCTCTCTCTCTCTCTCTCTCTCTCTCTCTCTCTCTCTCTCTCTCCTTGTGACCTAGTATAAAATGGTCAAAATGAAACAGAAGAAATGGGTACTGAAGGCTCTGGCAAAGGGACAAGGCTGGGAGGGTTTTGAAAAAGGCCTTCTATTCAGGTGGCCTGGCAGGCCACTGTAAACATCAGGGTATTTAAGGAGGAAGTCAGCGCCCATTGTGGTCCACCAAATGGATGTCTCTTCAGTGTAACAGAGCTACAGATGGCTATCAGTGCAACAGAGCTGCCTCCCATTCCTCTCCGCCTGGTCATTTCCTTTACTGAGTTGAATGTAAGACCCACCCACTGGCGTGGTTCTCAGCATTATAGGTTTTTAGGTCAAACAGAAACCCCAGGGAATGCCTGAAAAAGCCAAGCCAATATTACCTCTGCCCAGACCGGATGACAGGGAGCTACTGCTCTTGTGTGTAGCAAAGTCCACACTTGAGTGACATTCCCTGCTGGAACATTGGAGGAAGCCAGGAGTGTGTGTGATTTGGCTCAGAGCTTGGTTCAGAAGTTGCTGAAGTTTATCTAGAGGGCTCCGTGGAAGGCCTTGGTTCGCCTTAGAAGGCTGAACGGTGGGCCCTGCTGGGTGGCCTTCATTATCATCCTCACCTAGGCATACCATGGACGAGACACAGGAGTCGCTAGCCTTGACTGTGCATCTTCTTGCTGACACTGGGAACGGCTCGCTTCTGCAGCAGGCGCTGGACCAACTCCTGGATTGCATCTGCCCAGAGGTGCGTCTCTTCCTGGTGTCTGAACGGGCCAGACCAGTGAATTACCATGAAAGGTACCACCCCCGGAGGGCCCGTTTCCCAGGGATGTCTGTTTCGCTCTTTCTTCAAGAAAGCCTAGGACAGGAGCGGCTGTTTCGAGTCTTGGACTTCCTACAACATTCACCCTGGCAGGGTTTCCCTACCCAGCATGCACAGGGGAGGCCTTGTACCTATCTCCCTGCCAACCAGGAATTCTACAGTCTGCACAACCAGATGCCAGTGTGGGGCATAAGGCCAGTGCATTGTGGCACTGATATCCTCAGAGTGACTCTGTACTGCAGTTTTGACAACTACGAGGATGCCATCAGGCTGTACGAGATGATCTTGCAGAGAGATGCCACCATGCAGAAGAGCAACTTCTGTGTCTTTGTTCTCTATGCCACCAACGGCTTCAGCCTGCAGCTCTCTCTGAAGCAGCTGCCTCTGGGAATGCCAGTGGATCCCAAAGAGTCTTCCGTGCTGCAGTTCAAGGTTCAAGAGATCGGCCAGCTGGTGCCTCTTCTACCCAATCCCTGTGTTCCCATCAGCAGCACCAGGTGGCAGACTCAGGACTATGACGGCAATAAGATTCTGCTGCAGGTATTTCGTTTCTTGTGTTTCTTATATGTGCCAGGGTTACTAGCGTTGGTAGGGTCAGAGCCAGGGCCCTGGAAACTTAAACAAGAGATGCTTGGCCACCCATCCTCAGTAGGCCAATTAAAAAGATGGAAAATAGTGAAAAACGGAGACAGGAGGTCTATTCAAAGCAGATACAGCAGAACCCTCTCCTTGACATGAAGTTTAGGTTTAAATAGAGGGCAAGAAGTATGTGTGTGTAGCTAACTAAGGAGTCCCGGCCAGGGTGTGGTCCCAGTTAGCATCCATTCACCATTGTCTCAGTTCAACCTCTCCTGCAGAACAGTCGGGCAAGTTGTGAAATCTTTCTGGGAGTCAAGCTCCCCCTCTGGCCACCATCAGGGCCCCAGCTTTCTCCTCTCTGCAGCATGAGATTCCTGGAGAAATCTGAGTTTCCCCGTTGTGTCATTAGTCTGATAGGCAAAGGAGGGGCACAACCATTTCTTCTAAATGGCCTCATCCCTGCCAGGACGGTCACACAAGCACTTGGAAAGGTATGATGCTATGTCTGGATGAACACTAGAGGTGGTTTTCAACCTGATTACATTTTAAGAGACTGGGGAGGTTTTAGACTTGTGCGTGCCAACTTGTTCCACAGTCCCCTTAGACTAGCAAGTCTGGGGAGACCCAGAGAGCATTTCTTACAAAAGAATAAAAGGGCTCATTGTGTGATTCTAATAGATACTGCAGTTGACAGTCACAGGCTTCAAATTATAAAGGCTCCTCATGTGACAGGAAAGTAACATCTGATTTGTGTGAATCTTCATCTGAAAAGCCCACAAATCTGACAATTCTCCCTCCCCAGGATGCCCTTCACTGTGCTGGTCACCCATCCTTACACATGTTGCCCCCTCAGACTCAGTAATAATATTTCTGGAAATTTTGGAGCATCTTGCCAGAGTTGTGCCTGTTACTGGGGAAATGGAGCTCTCCCCTTTTGGTTCTTAGTCTCATTAATAAAGGAATTTAAGAACAGACCCAGGTAGAAACTCGAGGGCAAAATTCTTGGTGTTTAAAAGAAGAGGAGGAGAAAGAAGAGGAGAAAGAGGGGGAGAAAAAGGAGAAGAAGGAAGAGAAAGAAGGAAGAGAAAGATGAGGAGGAGAAGGAAGAGGAAGAAGAAGAAGAGAAACAATTCAGTGCAGGCAAGTTGTAAATCTCAACAGGGGCCAGAGGAGGGAGATAAGGAAGAGAAAGAGAACAGCCATGCGGTCTGAGGTAGTCTGCATGGAGGTCAGTCACAGATCAGGGAGGAGCCTTAGAGGAGGAGGAAAGCCTGAGTGTTATGGAAAGCACACTGGGAAAAGGGATAGAAAGAAGAATAGGAAATGTTAACCAGCAAGAGCAGGCTGCTTATGAAGTAGCACGGATCCGTCCAGGGCCTACGGCAACAATGCCAGGAGCTTTCCCACAGACTTAAGGAAGGGCACGGTGTCTGGGAGTGTTAGGTTTGCACTACTACCCGCTTCATCTTGCAGTGTTCTCTACCACTGTCAAATTTAAGCACAAACCAAGTTCAACACCCAGAATGCCTTCTACAGAAAATCTGAAAACCACCCCTGTCAGCCAGGTGTTTACCTAGTCATGATGGCTGCCATGTGCTGTCTCTTACGGCATAAGGTGTGGCAGCTAAGCTTTAGCATTTAGTAGCTGTTGTGATGACCTTAGCTGAGTGAAGGTGATACTGGCGTCTTCCTGCATTAAGGTGGCTAATCTGCATGAAATGCCGTAAATGCGCATCGTTACATTTTAGCTGCTGTTGTACTAAGATTCTCAAATTACTAATTTTATTTAGTTATGAAGTTACTGCCATTCCTGTTACAGATGAGAAGACTGAAGCACAGTTATTTGTCCAAGACACAGCTAGGGTGTATCTCTGTCAGGTCTCAGAGTCTGTTTGACTAATGGTGGCACCATAGAGGTGAAGTGGGGCTGGGAGATGGGCAGGGTGGTGGCGGTCCCTGTGCTTACATGTGTGCAGGAGTTATACAGCAGTCAAAGCAGATATCCCATGGTGTCTGTCCTTGGGAAATGATCAGAACGCCCCTTAAGGCCTAGTGTATGGAATCATGCTCGGTAGCAAATATTACCTTTCCCCTTGTCTAACTTCCTTACCACCCATTTCCCTTAGTTAATAAAGCATGAATTATATCGATTCTATCATGAACTAATCTTTTTCTTTTTCCTTGAGTAAAACATAGGAGATGTTTGTAGAACAAAAGTAAAGGCTCCAGACAGCTGGGAGGACACCCCCAAGATGTGGAAATCAGGGTTCATTTTTGTGAGTTCTTTGTCTTACTGATAAAAGAATTTAAAATCAGACCCAGTGTGAGGGAGATGTCTCATCTGGTAAAGGAGCTTGCAGCCATGGCCAAGGACCTGCTTCCCCTTTCTAGGACTCCCCGGGGTGGAAGGTGAGAAACACGGCCACAGAGTTGTCCTCTGACCTCCACTCCCACTGGGGTCACCACGCAAATGCCGTGTCTACTACCTTCCTGCTTAGATGCCTTGTGTCCAACTCCCCAGTTCCCCGGACATCTGAACTTCCACATTTAGGTCTGGTTAAGCTCTGGAATTAAACTTAATATGCCTGGCATGCAGCAGGGAGCATGTCCCTATTCGCTCCCACTCCTGAAGGCTAAGAGATGTTTGACTGGGAGACACAGATAGATAATTAGTCATTTCAGAAAGCTGAATCAAATTTGGGGAGTCTAGAGAAGATTTTGATGAGAGAAAATCCAGTAAGGAATATCAAGATGACTCCATTGTCTCAGGATGTTTTAGAAGTCCCAGCATCTGTTAAGCAGGGACCCAGCATGAGTCCTTCATTCTCGTGGCCTCCCTTGAACTCTACCTTTGGGCGCATCTTACCTTCTCCAGAACACTACTCTTGGTCACTTTTTGATCTCTTCCTACCGATGACTCTACACTTTCGCAAACAAAAGGATGTATTATTTTCTAGAAAATTCTACTGTGATTTCTTGTCATAAAAGTGTTTGAGTAGAGAGTAGTACAAAAGGCTAGACTATACTCTGCTATTGAAATTAGCATGTTATAGCTACAGCACAGCCATTTTGTGCTTAGAACGAAGTGAGATGTTTAAGGTGTAAAGCCCACTGTAAACTTTCTTGGGGTAAGTGTTAGGGCAATAGGGACAGATGATGAATAGTCTTACTTTTGTAACTAAGAGGCCCAGGTCTTAAATTAGCACCCCTAGGATCCAGTTCTTAGCTCTGCTACCTTGTTCTTAGCTCTATAATCAATACATAATAGTCCAATAAAGTTTCTGGATTAGACTCCAATTGGACCAATATAGACTCTATTTTCTCCTCTGAATTGATGGTTGTACCCAAATAATGGAGTTCTGTGATAAAGTTAGTCATGAGGCAGAGATCTGGCCTGAACTTCAGGTGCTGTGTGGGGTCACACTGATATCTGGAGCTGTCACAAAAGGATGAAGGTCCTTAATTAAGATCAGAGTGGAGGAGGCAACTGTTGATAGTTTGCAACCAAATTTCACTTAAGAAAATCGCATCGCCTGGCGGTGGTGGCGCATGCTTTTAATCCCAGCACTTGGGAGGCAGAGGCAGAGGCAGGCAGATCTCTGTGAGTTTGAGGCCAGCCTGGTCTACAAGAACTAGTTCCAGGACAGGCTCCAAAGCCACAGAGAAACTCTGTCTCAAACAAACAAAAAGCAAACAAACAAAAAATCCTATCTGCCACTGAAAGGATCAAAATCACAAATTAACCTCTCTGCAGATAACTCTTCATAGGGCCTGGGTGGGGGCAAAGAGGCAGGAGAGATGCTAAATCCAAGGCGCCAGGGAGAAACTTTCTTGAGGAGAAGTGCTGAGAAGACCTACATGAGCCAACCATGAATGGTAGGAAATGTGTTCTGAAAGGAAGAGGCAGCGTGTAGTACAACGCTTCCTTAGCAGAACACAGCGCGGTGCCTGAGGCTGTGCGGAACTGCAGTAGAAGGAATGATATCATGGCACACGGATGGACCAGTGGCCAGAGGCCAGGTCTTCAGAAATATGATCCATCACGGGCTAGGAGCATCAAGAAGGAAGGCAACTTTTCTGATTCACTCCGATGAAGGCAGTATTGAAGCTAGTGCTTGGAAATGGGAGGCATGGGCATTTGTGTATGAGTGAACACTTGATAGACAGCTTTGGTTCTAACTTTAGCACCATATCCAGCTGCTGGTGGAGCCTGTGGGCAGCACTGACATGTATAATTTGTGTTATGTGAATCAAGTGAAAGAACGTACACGCAAGCGCTTTGTCCTGTAGAAACTTGCCGAGGCCGCACCAAAGCAGAGCAATGGCTGCCTTTGGGTGTCAGAGGCTGTTAGTTCTCTCTAAGGGACACTGTCCACAAAACTTCTTGCCATCAGCCCAAAGCAAAACTTCACCCCTACTGAACTGAATTCAGCATTCCTTCTTCTGAACAGCACTGGGCAGCCTATGCTCTATTCTGTCTTCCTGAATTTACCTGTTTAAGGCATTTCCTGTAAGTGGAATGATGTAATCTTGTTTCTCCAGAAATAAGCAGTTTATTCAAGAACTTCTTTCTTGCATGTCCAAGCTGTCCTCATGCAGACTTCATGACCCCTTCTTCTTTGTTCTTACCTTCCTGTCCTCCCTCCCTACACCCGGCTCACCTCAGGCCATCACACACTCTCACTTCTGCATTTACTGAGTACCTGGGCTGCACCATTCTTGGCAGGTGAGAGTCGGAGGCATTGACCACTATAGAATAGCAGGTTAGCATTTGAGGCTTCTCAGTGGATTAAGGAGTTTTCAAAGCAGTTAACTGGAAAAGGTTTTCCACTCTTCAGTGGTCTGGTGCCATCTCAGAGTTTCTTCACATTTACCTAGTTTGTTTCTACATCATCATTTTTCCCAACTCGGAGATATCCTTTTGGTACCTTTGTGAAAAACTATCAGGAAGACCGTATTTT